AATGACACGTTTAATGATAATAACGACGAGTATTATAACGATAAGTGTTTCCTGACGTCTCTCTTGCAGTCTTCAGACGAGAGGCTGTCGTTTGAGTCCCGAAACGGCAAAAGTGAGGTCTGGAGTCGTTTTGAGCGCATTTTGTTCAATCATTTGGAGACCTCTTATGTGAAGTGCAAACAATGCGATGCCATTCAGAAGCAGACATCAAATACCGGAACCACTCCTCTCTTGAGACACAACTGTAACGCCAAACGAAGACTCACTGATTGTCACTCAAGAGGTGCTAACAATTCCAACACTTTTAATGCGATCCTGAGGTCTAAGAAGTGTTTGACAGTTGAGGACAAGATTCGGGTCGAGAATCAAACGCTCAAACATTTAATCAAGAAATGCTTGGATGTGATCGACAAATGTCTTTGCGTTAAGAGAAGCGTTATATTTGAGAAAAAACAAATCAATGTCTTAATTAAAGGATACAATGAATGGTTATTTGAGAGCCAAGAGTTGGATCAATTGGACGACAATAAAGAGGAGTTTGAAAATATGTTTGATAACTGTTTCGATTCGGGCCTCAAGTTAAGGACCAATGAATGTGAAGATCAGTTAGACTTTGACGAGGATTACAATCAAACGAATGAATCAAAACACAAACGATTATTGATCTCAAGAAGAATGAAAGCCAACAGTTCTATAGCGGCCTCCAAACTGGTGATGAAGAAGTATTATCGGCAAAAATCGGTGATCGCGAGTGAGCCTATGATCTGCGATTGGCCCGAATGTGGCAAACAGTTCCGCAATAGTCATAACTTCCAACAACACCGCAACAAACATATGGGGATTCATAAATACGGGTGCGATTGGCCCGGTATGTCGTCCTCTCATTCATATTCATTCATATTTTAATACTTAATCTTTTTTGTTTGTCTTCAAAGGCTGTGAAGAGACGTTCGCTAAAAAAGTCAATTACGAAATGCATATGAGTTTACATACAAATGAAAAGAAATTCAAATGTGATTTTCCAGACTGTCATTACGAGTCCTGTCGTAACAATCTGTGAGTTCACACAAACACTCTTCCATTTAATATATGATTGTTTGAAATGTTTATTTTTTGTAGACTTCAAAGACATATGAAGGTTCATACGGGAGAAAAGCCCTTCAAGTATGTATAGTTTTCATTTAAATTATATTACATTTAACTTAACAATGATTAACAATGAATTATAGGTGCGATTGGCCCGGATGTGAGTTTCGGACATCTAATAAAAACGGCTTAAGACATCATAACTACAGACATACGGGAGAGAAGCCCTGGAAGTATGGCTCTTTCATTATGCATGCGTTATATTAAGTGATTTGTGTATTACAGATGCGATTGGGTTAGCAGTGATGGCAATCCATGCAACTGGTCTTTCCGTCAATCAACGCATTTGAAGGCTCATAGACTTAAGCACACGGGAGAGCGACCGTATCGGTGCGAATGGCCTAATGGTATTTGTGAGCGCAAGTTTGCCTCCCGTCAAGCCATGAGATTTCATTCAGAAAAATCTCATAATTATATTGTCCCTCAAAAGTAATCTCAAATCATTTGTTGTACTTTTCTTATATTTTATAAATTAATATTTGTTTTATAATTAATGATTAAATGTTTGATTATATACGCGGATAATTGTATAATATGATAAAATTAATTCAATTTTTACTCTTTTAATATTTACAAATCACATGTAAAATATTGGAAATATTGAAATCATTTAAACTAGATTTTGTATGCCTTGAATCATATTTAAATATAATATTAAATATTTGGTTAAACATTAAATTTATAACTTTTTAAGACTTCGTTCAGATCTAAATGGGTTTCAATTGTAAGAATTTGGGGCTCCTTTCAAAGTTAGAGTTAGTATCGGATCAAGAAGTGTAATGCAAGTACCGGTCAGGAAAAGGATTTTAATTGTTTCACTAATTTCGCCAATTAATGGTTTAAAGTAAATGACATGAATATAGCATAGACTGAGAATATGATGAATTAAAAGCCCAATTTTTGATTTGGTGTCAAACTGTCTTAAGATCACAAAAATTTGAAGAATTCAATTCAAAAACTGTTTTATAGGCAGTTTTCTAACCCTAAAAAACAATAATCGGTTTTTGTATTTCATAGAAACATATAAATATACATTCATAAGCCCCAGGTAATAAATACAGTGAAATTATATTTTACATAATATGAGGGTCGGGTTGGGCACGATTTTATTGTGATTCTCCCTCTCAACTCTCCCAACCCTACCTCATGTCACGCGTTTAACACGTGTTGACGTCTAAAACCACATACAGATAAAGAAGACATTCTTTATAATATAAAGTTTATATCATAAGACATTCCACTCTCATAACAAACTCTCACTTTTAGTTTATTGAACATTTTTTGATGTTTGAAATGCCATTCAAGTCTATAATCATTATTCAAATATGATATGATTTGAATACAATTTTTGCATAGGAAGTGAATTGAACTCTAATTTTTAAAAATATCGGGCAGTGATCTAAAAAACCAATTTATTACCCTTTAAAATATGTTTGAAAGTCTAAAATACATAAACCATAGGTCAATCATCTGATTGTCAAAACTCGTGTTTATATAATATTACAACCTAAACATAGTATTCAACTACCACAACTAATACTGGTATTATTTGCACTAAAAAGTTCATGTTGAATATGAATGAAATTTAGTATATTTACAGTAAAGGTATATTTTAATTAAAACGATTTAATTATAGAAACATATTTGTCTATTAACTTAATATTAATTGTAACAATACCAATATTATTATAATAAATTAGAAAAGTGAAAAGTGTATATCTACAGATACGAACAAAAGTATAGACATAATATGTATAACTATATAATGGCATAACAATTAGCATAAATAGCCTCAAAGAATCCTTGTCTAAAACCTTGACCGCTAAATGTTTTGTAAATATTTAACTTAAAATATTTTCTGCTTGCTAATTATAGAGAGCGACCACATTAACCACATTAGTGCCGACATTAATACAATCGTAAGCTATAATTACATCCTCTGATATGCACTTTTTCACATCATTATCAGTCATCAATACATTTGATGATAATTTTTTAATTCAATTTAAACGACGATTAAATATGTACTTTACAGATAATGATGGGTAAAACATATGGTCATAAAGTAAACGAATTAATAAAACAATATTTCACTTTATATCGCGTACATAATGGTTAAAATGTGACAAAAGTTTCATAATCTTCTTGTTAGGCATTCTTTTGGTTCATTTACACAACAGTTTCATAAATGGTTTGTGAGAACCGATTTTTGTACTAAATTTCATTAAACAATTAATTCAACAATATTTTTACAACTTAGAGACAGAAGTCCTTCGCAAAAATCTCAAATAGTGTCAAAACATGTAATGATATAATTT